TTTCCACATTTCCATAGAAGTTCTAAAGTACATATACTGTAAGATCAACTCAATTAACCCAGCAATATCTATCCTACTTTTCTTGACCTTATCTACCTCAACTGGCAAACCACAAGGGTCTATGGGCTATTTAAGGTGGCCTGCCTTGGTCATCAGCGCGGTTGCTCCCCTTGACGTATCTCATGGTCTGGAGTGGGCAATGGGTACTGGTCTCCAGTTAAACATCCTCTCTACCACACATTATTAAGAAAATTGTGGCTGCAGTGGAGACTTATTGTTCTTCCTATTGCCATTTTCTTTTCTTTCTTTTTTTCCTTTTTCTCTTGCCTCGTTTTATTAAGCCAAATCTAAAACAGAATGATTAAGAGTGGCTTCACCTTGATCGGTTGACAAATGGATCAGAAGAGAATTGGTCTCCTCTAAGCTCAATAACCAATTTACAAGAGAAGATGGCACATTCACAGACATAGCAGCAGCAGGATCCATTTCACAGGCACGAGGTACAGAGAGTGCAGCACAGTTTATGACGACATCAGGCTGGCAATTCAAATTTAATACACTTCTCAGCACTTGAAAGTTTGATTAGTTGAGTTAAGTACTTGAGATCATATTCATCTTTTCATTCAAAAAACGCATACCAGCAGAAGCTTTTCACATATTGTAAGAACAACTAATGGCTTATACATGGCTCTATAAGAGTCCAAAAAGTATTTTTTTTTAAAGAAAAAATACCAATGAATGAGCCTCAACTCAAAAATGGAACGGAGTAAGTAAATATTCCCTATAATTAACAAGTAAATTTAGCAGGAAAATGAAAACAAAACAAAACAAAACAAAAGAACCCACAACAAGAAACAAAAAGCAAGCAAAACCCATTAAGCTATCACATTCCATTTCAGCTAATACAACATTAGCAGTGTGCGTGGTATGCAGAAAATTCAGACCCAGTAAACCAAAATTCATATCCCACAACGCCCAACACTCCAAATTATAGATTCCACAGGTTGAAACTTGAACGCAGAAATTAAAATCATTGTAATATAAAACTGTTAGTGTTGTAGTGTAGTGGATTGAGAACTAACCGGCCCAAACGTTTGAGAAATGGCTTGAAATCCTTGGCCGGTCTTCAAATCGACATGGAAAGGCAGCAAATGAGGAAATGTAGTGAGCAATGCTGGGGGAGGAGGATTGGAGTGGTGGGTAAAGGCCAGATCGCAAGGGGTGGTGGCTTGAATCTCTGAAAAGCCTTGCAATACATGTTGCCCCAAATAACCTGTGCCTCCGACTACCAACACTCTCTTCTTTCTCATCATACCACTTTTTCTCTCTGCGTTGGCGATTTGGCAGTGAATCTGATTTGGGTTTTGCAAGGGCTGGTGGGAAGATCCGAAGAGCTTCACGGCAATTGGAAGTTAGCAATGTACGGTTTATGACGAAATTTCTGCTGTCACTTCTTTGATTTGGAAAGAAAGACCCACCGGTCACTGTTCCTCTGTTTTTATCGTGTATTTGATTTTAGAGCCAAAAAACGAAGTTGAGGATGACCATGTGGCTTGGCTTTCATCTTTATAGTTGGATTTTCAAGGAGTGGGGAAATCAAGCCTAGTGTTTCGGATGCATGAATTCGTCATTAAAACTACAACTAGAAGTCCCTTGCTCAACTTATGGTTAGTAGAAGTCCCTTACAAATTATAATTTGATCTAATCACACTCAATTTTTATTTTATTAGAAGAAATCTCAAGTTTGAACCTAGACAATGTTTATTGAATAAATAAGAAATATTAATAAATTACTTTAGATCAAATTCTGGTTGGGTTATGGGTTGACCAATTTTGTCCATAAGCATTTGTTCCATTAAAAATTAGCCATTTGATTGCCATCAAATATTTTGAGTGTTCTTATAGAATTTATTATATCTGTCTATTTACTCGATAACAATTAGATGACTATTTAATTGTCGATTTAGCTGATTTTTTATATGAATATTCTTTGAAAAGGGTACTAGATTTTAAATGGTTCAGAAACATTGTGTTGTGAGCATGCCAAAAAATAAATTAAAATTAGAGAAGTAAAAAGAAAATATTTCCTTCCTTACCAGGTAAGTATGAGCTCTTACATTCATATCAATAGCAATGTGACATGTGTGCATAAGTTTTTCTTTCTATGTTTTTTATGAATTATTTTTGCATATGTGGCAAACTGTGATTTGTAAGAAGGAGAAGTATTTC